CCTAGAAAAAAAAAACTCATTATACAATTATTTCAGCCCTGGTATGCGGTGGGACCTCGGAAGATTTTCGTCCTTATGACAGAATGTGATAGTGTTGTGTTTACGGTGAAGGAGACTGTTACACGAATAGAGCATGACCAATATTCCTCACTTCTTTTCTCTCAACAAGGAATTTTTTTTTCCATAATTGTCCCCCCTCACCCCCCCCCCAAGCCATCTACTGATATTTATTTAAAAGGGTGACAGACAACAGAAAAAATGCAACGTAACAAAGATTATATTGTGATCTGGTCCGTTGGCGAGAAATCTGTTGTTTCCTGTTATTGAGTCTCATGTGATGCAACAGCCACCAAGGATTATGAAGCACTATTTACTAGTCACTTGCTACAACACAACTTCTTATAAAAACGCAACTCTAGTCAAAACTGTCTTGTCCTTGCGTTGTTTTTAGGTGGGGAATATATAATTATTTATTGAAAATAACCTAACTTAACCCTATACTAAGCTCTGATTGATTAACAAACCCCCCCCCCCAAAAATAAAGATTCAATATCCAGCTTATAGGTAATTATACAACAGGAATGTTAAGGAAAAAAAAAGTGTTTTAGAATAGTCAAAAGATTTCAATCATAAAATTGTCATAATTCTTTGGGTGGCAACAAATTAATTATTATCCAAACAATAGGTCCGGGTGGTGCATCAGCAGCCAGCCGGTCGCAATTAAAACAATTAGGAGAGGAAGGCGTTACATGTGAAGCAAGACACTGGAGCTACGGAGTCGTGAAGAAAATATATCGTGAAGACCGTGAGGCGTGTCTCGTGAGGGTCGCCGTGTGTCTCGCGAGGGTCGCCGTGTCTCGGGAGGGTCGCCGTGTCTCGCGAGGGTCGCCGTGTGTCTCGCCAGGAGTCCAGGCGTGCATGAGAATGAAATCATAAGCAAGCAACCGCTACAGTACAGACACTTGGTGGCGCCATTCGCTTTAGTGTGGTTTCATTATTGTACTCTAATAACAGGCTTGGGACATTTTTATTTATCAGGTACGCCGAGTTAGTGAATAATTAAGAGGTATAGAGAGGTAAAAGTGGTGGTTTTATAGGAAGTAGCTCCCTTGTTCTCGGACAGCATCACGGTTGATGAACTTATTATCTGACATTTTTCTTCATAAAATAAACGATTGTAGTTATCAAGATGATCTGTGTTCATATATCCTCCACAGTACAATATATTACCTTCTTATAATATAAAGTGTGATCTTTGACACAACACCAGTTTTGATTTAGTTGTGATATATGGATTATCGTGGGCGTTGTATAAGACTGACGAGCTACAATTTACAAAAATCTTACGTCAAAGTATTTCAACATGGAAAACGCTTATCACCGAATACTGTTAGTCTTAAAGAACTCGGCCTCATTTTGTTGGTATTTTACCGGTGATCATGTGTGGTAACATAACATGGACAATATGGCCACAAATGCAGCAATCAACACAAATATAAATGGCATGAAGTAATTAAGTGTATTAACATAATATGGACACTACGAACACTTACAATGACTGCTGATGCTCGTCCGAGTGTGAAATGGTATGGAAATTATTGGTGTGGAAAATTTGCGTCCTTTCACATCGTATGAACACACAAGCTTTGACAGATAGGCATATTGCTGGCTGAAGTCACCTATGGCACAAAACTTTTCGAAAATATTGTTAATCCTGTCCACTAATGTACCCTCATCTGTCACACCACTCCAGCTTTATACATTCCTCCTATAGGCTTCCGCAGAAACCACTGGCAGATTATCACTGTCTGAGGAACTCGTTATTTACTAATATTAAACACACAATACACAACAGACGAGATAAGTACAGCCACCACACGAGGTATAAACATGAATCCGCGAGACCGAGGCTAACAGAACGCCCATTGGCAGCATCGTACAACGTATATCGTACATCAACAAATACAACCACAATTCGTTCTTGTCCACCTCTGGCCATTTATAACTGCATGTCAGGAATATTTTGCTACTTTGTATTAGGGTAGTGGAGTCCAATAGTGAATATTTTGCCAATACCAAGATGGCGGCGCGTGGGTTGGCTCGGTTTGCTCCCTATGTATCGCTGCCGCCTCCAGCTGCCCGTGCCTCCTCCAGCTGCCCGCGCCTCCTCCAGCTACCCGTGCCTCCTCCAGCTGCCCGCGCCTCCTCCAGCTGCCCGTGCCGCTCCAGTCATAAAACCTTGGAACCAACACATGTGGCTCCAGTATTTATCGATTCTACCGCTGGTCAGCTTACATGTTCCAAACAAATGCTCATGACTTCCTCACACTACTGACATGAAGCGCCATCTATCTTCTATTTATTTTCCTCGTGTGACACCATTTTCTGCTTATTATTCTAAATCACTTCTTAACTATATCTTATTTCCACATTACCGTAGAGGAATTGAACTGTACATACGACAAGTTAAATAATTTCTAATGATATATTGATATTATTGTTAGCATTATGTTTTGTTGTAGATGTTGCTGGTGATGTTATTTTAATTGAAGTTATTGTTACTAGTGTTATTGTTGTTATTTATGTTTTTTTATGTTCATGGTGTTGTTGCTGATGTTTTGTTTTTAATTTGGTTGTTGTTGTTGTTGTTAACTCTTACTTGATCTAAGACGCCACATATTCTTGTTGTAGAAGGACAATACAGGGTACAGATTCTTGTTTGACTCATTCTAACAGTGAAACGCTCCGCCCGCCAGACATAACCTTGGCATATAGGATTATTGACGTGTGTGTGTGTGTGTTTGTGTGTGTGTGTGTGTGTATGTGTGTGTGTGTGTGTGTGTGTGTGTATGTGTGTGTGTGTGTGTGTGTTTGTGTGTGTGTGTATTGACCTCGGCAAGCATAACACTCATATAAACATGTATCGTATTTCATCTATCACACCTAACTTGGCATGTGTCATTCGGTACCAGATGGCGCCGTTGAGTATCTGATTGGGAGACTGTACTTCTGAATGGCTAAGCTACATACCTGATTGTTCTTCGATAGACTGAATAAACGATTTCGTCTGAGTGGCAATAAGTTTCTGAATGTTTACCTGTAGTTTCTCTGTTGGCTGTTAACTCAACTGGATCTTTGTCTGTCATCTTATTCGACTTAGTAAAGGAAACAAGAAAATTACTGATAGATAGATAGATATATATAGATTACTTGATTGATTTCGATAGATGGATAGATTGTTGAATAGATAAATGGTTAGATAGATAGTTAAATAAATATATAGATAGAGTGTTGGGTAGGTAAATAGGATGATTACTTGATAGAGAGGTTGTGTGATAAATAGATAGATAGGAAACCAATATCCTACCACACCAGGGAGTACAAATTGTCGTGACTTCACCCTCGAATACTTGAACGGTGACTGTTATGATCGTAATGACGGCTAGCCTGTTAAAACCTAATGATTCATATTATGCTTACACGTCCACAAAACCTTCTGAGTCTCCCAGTGGAAATGTCCTCCGTTCTCTCTGTTTCCTTGATGACGTCATCGAGATGTGGTATTCGTGTTGACCGAATTTGTAAACCCTTTTGCATCTACCGAGACCTGTAAACCCTTTTTTCACCTATGAATATCAGAGACCCTGATAATCATAGTGAAATTGTGATAGGGAAGTTAACTAAAGAATTAGTTAAAGTTCCTGAAGGGAACTTTTGAATCTGCTCCTCTGTGTTGTAGCAAGGTGCTGCGTGTTGGGACCTGTTGCCATCCAACCTTTTGTGATCAATTTAATTCTTGCTTTTGATAGCTCAGTCAGAGCATTGTTTGTAAAGATAATAGTAGGGAATGAAACTGAGTTCGTAGTCTCAGTTTCAAACGTCAGGATGTACAGTAATTCAGTGAAATGGTTAAGTAGGTGGAATCATTGACTTTGGCGTGGGTGGAGGACGGTGGTTCGTTTTTCAAACCAGTAAGCCATCTCCCTCCTCACCCACAGGTAGGTCACTCCATTCCGTGTTGTAATTCGCCATTTTTAAGTGATTTAACCGAATTAATAACTTGATTGTGCAAGTGTTACAGTAACGTAGTTAATGTGTTTTGAGTGAAGTATTTTCCGTCCTTAATGTCCCTTTTGAAATGTTGATGTCGTTATCAACGGTCAGTAAGCCGTCTCGCTCCTCACCCACAGGTCCTTATCGCAGCCTAGGCCGTGTCTGTAGCGTGGATGACGCATCCACTAGTCTGGGGAGATGTCTGAGGTCCAGTAGAATCGGTTATCCCCATGAACCCCGACCGTCAGAAGCTCCACTACCACCCATGGGCCCCATAGCTGGCCAGTATTCCCCTAACGCCCTGCCCACGTGGTGAACCCGGATCGTCAAGCCCCACAAACTACTGCCAGCCCCATCATTGGTGGATGAGTACAGTACATAACTCAGTAGGGCTATTGGTGTGGTGGTGTTATTCCACCGGAATTATCGGAGTTGTTGGAAGGTGTCACTTGGTGATGAGACTCCCATGACGGCTGCTTGAGTATTGTCCCTGGGGTACTGAGTGTTGTACTGGCAGGTGCCACTGGTTTTAATGGTGCTAAGGTGCTGTGAGAGTTCATGTGTGTTTTGGTGTGGGTACACCCAGTAGTGGTGCAAGTAAATTGAACCTGAGGGCATGGTACCAGGAGTTACTGTTTTGGGTGCATACAACATCTTTTCTGTAACCATTTTTGTGTTTTAATAAACATTGTATTTGTATGTGGGTCTATGATTCACCTATAGTATTCACCGTTGTTCTTTCCCTAATACTCGATACTATAATTACATGTACCCATGGGCCTTCCTCTCTCGTCACACTACCAGGTCAGAGTAATAGCGTAAGTTGTTGTAAGAGTGCCAAGCCCTTAAAGGGTGGCAGCTTGTGTTGCGTGCTCTTACAAATGGTGGCAACGGTGGGATGCGCGCTCTTACAAGACTAACTGATAAACTGTTTTTTCTCCCCCCAGGCGTGTCGCCGTGTCAAGATGAAGAACTTACTGTGTGTCGTGGCGATAGTGACGACCTTTCTCCACCTCAGTGAGCATTTACCACCCATGTTGCTGTGTCGTGGTGATGGTGTTTAGCAGTCTGTTTCCCCCTCTGTGTCTGTCTGTTTGTTAATGGTAGAACCATCTCTGTGTATTCTTTCTTTCCATCTTTCTATGAATCTTTTTGTTTAGTTTTAGTAAATATGTTTTTTTAGCCTCTTTTTCTCTTATATTTAATTAACGTTAGTGTATGAGTATTATATTGATAAGGCTGTCAAAGGTTAAAATCACTATAAGGGTCTTGATGATCCTAGCTTGAGGTAAATAAAGAATTAAACAAGAGCAGGAATATGACTGTAGTATCGATGGTGTTTTGTGTTTGTTTTGTCTGTATGTTTCCTTATCATTCACCCTCAATATATACTTCTCACCTTTAGCTCAAAATATACAAATGTTTCCTTTTTGTGTATTAAAAAAACACTTTGAGGACACGCTAGTAGTATATTAGACACACCTAGTCAACCTAACTACACTTTATAATCTACGCTACACAATCCTAGTACAGTATTACTAAATCCTAGCAGTGTATTGTTAAGTAAAGTATGCTTAAAGTCTCAACCCAGGAACATACTACTAAATGGAATATAAATGTCTACCTAACCAGCCTTCTCCCCACGACAGGCGAGGGGAGGTTGTGCTACAACTGCATTGGAAACTGTGTCACCGATTCAGAGTGCAAGGGTTCGTGCACCACCTCGGTCCTGGAGTTGGGTAAGTCGTTGTTCTCGTACGCAGTATCTGGTTGTTGTTGTTGGAAGTGTGGTTGTAAATTGTTGGAGTATTCGTCAATTTGTAATTTGTTGTACGTTTGATGGTGAATGTTATCGTACACCGTGTTGAGAGATGTCGTACGTATGATCGTAAGTTGTTGTACCTCGGGTTATGAGTCGTACAATTGGTTGTCTTCTTTGGCTGATATTCATATTATTTGTGTGCATGTGTGTGTGTGTGTGTATATATGAGTGTATACTTACATTTATGTATACTTTTGTATGTGTTTACAACTTAATATTGCCTCATGAATGTCAATAACACAAAGCAACATTTTGGTATTTAAAATATTTGTAAATGAAGATGCAGCCCACATATTAATTCCAACTTAATGTCGTAGCTTTTTTTATGTGCTGATATTATCCTTAAAGGAATGCCATAGCCTTTGTTGTTACTATAAAGTCTAAAAGAATGCCTTCATCCCCAGTAAAATGCTTAAAGTAATGTCTTGACCTAAAAGAACGGCTTATAGCCTACTATGTTATGTTCCTATAATGATCGTACTGAGACTTGGTCCTTCTGTTCCCCAGGTGGCAACGAGGAACGTAGCTGCATCAACGAGACGGTGGAGGCCAGGTGTATATCAGAGGAGAGAATGGGGGAGAAATACAAGACTTGTTTCTGTAACACCGAGCGCTGTAACTCCTCCTCTCAGGTGTTGTTCAATCTCGCCATCTTATTGCTGGCTGCTTCACTACTGCAGCAGTTGAGGTAGAGACCCCAATGACGACCTCACCACCGTAGCAACTGAGGTAGAAATCCTCCTGTTCCTCTTCCTCCTGCTGCTGCTGGTGGCCTCACTGCTCTTGTAGTATATGTAAACAGTCCTGCTACCTTCTCCTGGGGACTACCGAACCACCTAGATCACCATTATCGGTCTCGCTTCTGTGGTACATGAGGCTATCAACCCCTCCTCTGCCTCAAGACATCAACGGTATTATATCAAGCAATTTGGTGAGACTCCTCGCGTCCTTAAAGGTATCGCGACGGCAAAATATATGAAGGTCCACGTCTCCTTCTAGTCTTCTTGGTGTCAGTGAAAGTAGCTGGCCCTCTTATCTCTCTGTTTCTAGTGGTGGCTTCATCACCACCTGCTGCTGGAAAAGGCTGCCAACAGATGAGACCTCACTAGACAACGTGTCACCACTTCGAGCAGCTAAAGTTGAGACCTTTCTCATCATCTCGTCTCTTGGTCTGTTGGTGCTCTCCTGTTCAACAAGTCGTATCAGGAAAACTCGACAACGTGAGGATAGAAAAGTGTGTAACAGATGGCGAGGATTGTGTTAGAAGAGCACAGCAGAGACAGTACTGTAGTCTTATTAAAAGAAGCATGAACACTGAGGTTTAGAATCACCAGACGAACGTAAGCTGTCACAGTGTTGTAACCAGAAGCGAATATTTGTCACATACATTTTACTGAATAATGTTTATCGATAAAGAAAAATAAAACTGCAGGAGATTGGTGTGGCCGTAAACAGTGGGAGAAGACTATTGATCTCAAATTTGTGTTGGGGAACAGGTTAGTGTCGTCCACAACACATCTCGACGGCCACTGACCCGGACGGTGCAGATGTGTCTTGCGTGAGGACGCCTTCACCCCCCAGTGTGCTGACATCGATCTCCCTGACTCCTCTCTAAGCTATGAGATCTTACAACCAACTTGACCTTTCCTTACACTCTTCTTGCTCTTTCTTCACACTGCTAGACACTTTTATAGTCTACGTGATTTTCCCTACACTCTTCTTTCAAAATACGTGACCTTTTTAAAAAATTATTTGTGACATTCCTAGGCTGTACGTACGTAAACTTTCTACAAACTACGGGAACTTCTTAGGTTCTACATCACCATTACTCCTGTAAGATCTCCATGACTTTATTTTGTTTCATGTAACCTTCATACAGTGTGACCTGCGTGACATTAAGGGGTTACGTGACCTGTCTACGAGATGTGACCTCTGTTCCACCTACATAACCTTTCTTTCATCTACTTTCCCCTCTTAAGACGTAGTTGGCATTTCTATGAGCCTTGTGACTCATGAAGACTCACGTGACTCTCCTGCGATCCACTTGACTCTCCATCGACTTCGGTAACCTTCACACTGACTGCTGCTGCGGGGCCAAGTCATTGTTACCAACATCTATCCTCTGGGTAGAACCTTGTGCCTTTCATCGCAGTATCATTATATTTTCCCACTCGTGTGTGTTGATGACATAACAAAGTATACTTTGACATTTCCTGAAAAAGAACTTAGTGTTTTTTTTTTTAATTTTATATATATTTTTTTTTTCATAAAATTTGTTTTGAATGATGTTCAGCACAGCACACACTTGACCTGTGATGTGTCGTATATTCACGCGACTGGAAAAGTATGGTAATATGGCAAAATACAGTATATCTCCTTTAACATGACCAAGTCGAGTGCTATCCAGGCAGCCACGCCCGCCCGGCGAGGCAGAGGACCTGCCACCTCCGTCAGGGCGCGGCGCCGCGCTGGATGGTCAATACAAGTGATCCACGCTTTGCCCTCGTTACAGCAGAGTTTTGTTGATGTTTTAGTTAGTGACATCACAAGGTGTTGCTGGTGGATCATGACGTCACTGTATATACACGCTCACCGTTTAAGATTTCTTGTTAATTGTTAGATCATGATCAATGCATTGTGGTGAGCGTAAACATACATATACATGTACTGTATATATATAAAGTTGAACCATAGAGAATTTAAGATTATATTCTACATTAACCTTCAGTACCTTCCCCTGTGTATGTGGGCTACAGCCAGGTGGTAACAGTCGTAGGTGAGTTGTGTTGTGCTTCATTTGTGGTGTGTCACTCACTCAACATGGCGCCGTGCTGTAAAGTAGATGTTTCAATTGTTCACCCACATAGTCCCAAGGTTCAGGTTCTAAGAGGTTCATACGATATTTTGTTGTTGTTCTATAAGTTAAACGGTAAACTGTTTCCTTATATCTTAATAAGAACAATTATCGTTGGAACCTTTATAAGAGTTTGAATCCTGAGTGTGTGTGTTGGTGACGTAGCATCTTCTTCCCCCATATAGTGTGTGTGTGTGTGTGTGTGTGTGTGTGTGTGTGTGTGTGTGTGTGTGTGTCTTGTCTAATATCTACTACGCCTTGTGGGGGTTTACTTCTGTTAAATGATGTGATGTGATGGTATATAGATAGATAACAACAGTATAACAAGCTTGATGGAGTCGCACCGTAATAGTTACTGTAGATGAATTATGTTGTTAGAGTCGGCCAAACCTAATGCTCAAAATCGAGTCAATATTTACTTCGCCGTTCCAGCAGTTTGACAGTAGTAATGTTGTGTGAGTGTTAGTAGTAGATTTTGGTCTTTTTAAAGTGTTTATAGTTGTGAAATTTTTTTATTGATTCTTTTTGAAAAATATTAATGCATAGTTGAGGTATTTTTTTTTAACAGGTCATATCAGTTCACAAATACCAACCATGATATTATTATTATTATTATTATTTTTTTTTGTGTTGTTGTGTTGGTGTAAAGATGATATGTATGGTGTATCTATGAGCCTAAAGTCAATATTGTCTTAAATGTAAATCACTGAGCACATTTGACTGTTTACTTGTAAATTTAAAGCATCAGATTAGTCACAACAAAGAATTTTTTTTCTGCCTTTTAGAAGATACACTATATGTAAATGTTTTCTTTATATTAACTGTAGAATTCTGACAAGACCTGTTAACACAAACTAGACAAATTTAGTGTTTAATCCTGACCTGAGTTTGACACTTCCCGGGCGCTTGGGTCTTGATGTGGACAGAATGGATAAGTGACGCGTAATATTTCATCATCATTTCCTATAATTACTAGACTCGAATAAACTGGGATCCCTATAACCAGTGTCTTGATTATTCTAAATGTCTTGTCATCATTTATTTCCCAATTACGGAAACGTATCATGATTTCTTTTAGAGCCCAGTGCGTCAACTTGTTCGGATAATCAAAATCCACTTTTATCGGGATCTGAAAAGTAGATAACATTTCTTTGAGCCAATCTAAATAAAAAAAATAAATTATAAAAAAAATCATGTAAGGACGTAGAACCCCAGTCTTGTGTAAAAATCCTGTTGTTGTACTTGTAGGAGGCAGTACCGTGTGTGACGCTGAAGAAGGCCACGCAGGCGGGCGATCTCCTCCTAAGTGACGTACGCTAAATTTAATGTTTAAATTGAGTGTTTTATTCCATGTTAGGTGTTCTAGGAGAGGACCATTGTGTTATTGGTAGATTTATAATGACGTGAAGCTTTGTGTGTCGAGCTCCTGTGTGGTAACTGAGTCATTTAGTAGTAATGATTTATCGACTGTGTTCAACGCATGAGTAGATAGCTCCGGAGTGACTCATTGATTACTTATTTAAGCTAATACATTTCTTCCCCTTAACAATCAATATTTTTTTTATAGATTCATCCCTTGTCTATATTTAATTATCGGTTGCATCCGCTGCCTCAACAATATAATAATTGCTTTACCATTTTTCAGTTGCTTGCACTAGTTGTGTTCTTCCTTGACGCCGCCATTTCGCTTCTTTCTTGTTTCTATTTATGAGTTTTTCCTTTAATATTGATCTGGTATATGTCTGTAGTCTACTTGAAAAGGCACGGAAGAGAATCTCTGCGAGGGATCATTAATACAGAGGTTTGAATCTGGTGTTATCGACTGCCAGTACCTCAATGCGATACCCAAGCAGCGATTCCTTCCCGTAATCCGTCTAAGTGAGATGAAACAGGACCTCAGTAATGGTTTATATGATCGAATAAGGACCTCATATAGAACTAGATCGTTGTGTGCATGTGTACAGCTTAAGATAAATGTAGAACCATTGGAAAATATTGTATGTTTAATTTGTCTCGACTTAAAATTAATGCTATGATTCCTATTTCCAGAGCTACGGTGAATTTGAGAACCGTCATAAACCTCTATGTAATTATGTGTCTGTATAAAACTTAAGGTAAATATTAACTGCAAAAATATCCTACTAACTGTAAGTCAAAACGGTACAAATGGACCCCCCCCCCAACAAAAAAATACTTTGCATTAATAAAACATCCCGCCAGTCTCCATCTATCTGGAAACGCTGACTATGAACCTAAAACAAGTGATCAAACTAACTCCTATAGACGTAAGACACCCTCAAAACACATCCTAAAATGAAAGCAAAATTATCTGGATGATATTAACCGGATATTATTTTCTCTCAATCAAAAATCCCTAACAACAAATAAACAAACGTATTTGCTCATCATTGTCGTTCTAACGGTTGTTGTGCCTAATTTCTTTAATTTTAATAAGAAACAAATTTTATTATCATTTATATAATTTCTAGAAAGTTTTTATTTTAAATATTGTTAGTCATGTATTCCTCAGTGTATAAGATGGTACAAATTTTCGTTGTATAGTAATCCTAAATGTTTTCGATGTATTGTCTATTTATATATGGAGTTGTTGTTTTTGACTATGATAGACTATTTTATTTTATGTACACATAATTTTTTTCATAATTCTAAGCTGTATTTATAAAGATGTGTTTGTATAGTAATTAAATATGATCGATGTATAATTCTGCTTTCGTTGTTTTAGAACTGTATGAAAAGATATCAGGCTATTTTATCAGGTATAATTAACCAATACATACTATATTTTGCTATATGTTTTTAGGCTGTCTTTTTATATTTATATGTTTATACAATATTTAAATATTTTCTGTGTATAATTGTATCTGAAATTGGTTTGAGTGTATGAGCAGATAGCTTTATTACTGAACTCGGCCGGATGCTCAACACACCTCGTAAGTAACGCACTCAGTGGTGTTGTGACTGACTTAACATTATTTAAACTTACAACTGCTAAAATTAATGTAAACCTGTTATACGCAGAACTATTTAGCGATATCGTTAGGTTATTGTAACTCGAATGTCGATACCGAGAGTGACTTCCTGCGTGTCAGTCGTGTTTCATCAACAGAAAGATTATATAAATGGGTTAATTACATTTGATTTATATACTGAATCATCCCCTGTAAATTTCCACTGGCTATGAGGTGACATGTTCAGAGCAAGTGATAAGGTGTGCCCATGGGAAACCGCGTCATATTATGCTGAGTTTTGCTACTCTAACCCAATATAATATAAATGTACCAGCCTAGTTAACTTCGACAGAACCTATAGTTAACCGGCTATAACAGTCGGCCAATCACATTACGCTTTCAAAACTTACCGACCAACCAAAAGCTAAAGATATAAGTTGGAAAAGGTAAAACGTGGGAGGTTGTTTTCTTGGGGAAGTAGTCAGCAGAACACCACCAAGATAAAAAAAATAACGCCTGGGACTCAGTTAAAGTGTTAGTTCTGTGCGTTGTCGTATAATCTTTATTACTTACTGTCATCTAAAGAACATCTGTGGACAAAATGAACGAAATCGAAAAACTCCTTCTGGTGTTAGCCGCCTGCCTCACAGTTGGGTGTGACTGTGTGAGTCGGGGCAGCCTGGGACCTCTTCGTTCACCTCTCTAAAAAAAGTAAAAAAATTCCTCACACAGCATCAAAGTTACACACCTATACAATATGTAGAACCTCAAAAATTTTTCATTACTTGAGTTAGAGGATTGCAAAGCTCGTGCGTTTAAATATACACCAACTGCACCTCTCCCGCTAAAACATAAACAAACACAGCTACTATTTATAAGGTAGTTTCTTAACTGATTAGGGATCTTTTTAATATTTTTCCATTGAAATAATATATGAAACCTGTTCTCTGTAGTATTCTCAGATAAAACAGCTTTAATGAGTTTTATATAACATGGAAGGCATAGTATTTATGCAATCTGGAAATATACTGCACTGGCTATGTCAGTACCATCACAGGAGCTCCGAAGGTCCTGTAAGTTACGGCCCCTGAGACAATGTGACGTCACAAGATGGCCGATAGCTGTGAATATCGCTACAGAAAAGACTTACAGCCCCGAGGGTCGATTTACGGAGTTAACTGGGAGATACAACATTACTTTTGAGTATCCGGGGCTTCAGTGATATATTACCTGTATATAAATGACGTGAGTAAGGTAGTTAGCTTTTAGGTGCGTCATATACAGGAGGCTATAAAAGTTCCTGAAGGCTCTAAGCGTCAGATAACATTACAAAACGAACGAAAACTCTAAACATTCCTCACTAATGTTTTATTGTAAATTAATCACCTTTTCCACCTGTAAATACTATAAAGTTGAGTAACATATATTATTACGAGATACCCAGTCACCTCACAACCAGGCATACCAACCCTTCTGAGGTAACATGAGCCATAGAGTTGTACTCAGCTGTGTGAGAATTTTTCTTTGCCGATTGTACTCTCACCCACAAAAGTCCTGTTCCCTCTCCTCCTGAACCACGAACCCTAAGATTCAGACTCATGAATCCGAAGCATTTATGGTACAGAATAATGTATCAGTCTACTGCTTTGGGTTTAGGAGTCTGAATAATAGGGTTCGTGGTTCAGGAGGAGAGGGAACAGGACATTTGTGGATGACTGTACAGTATTGTTAACTGGAGACTTTTTTTCAATGTTTTTGTTAGCTGCTCAGGTAAATTGTAAAGCTTACCTGATGACTATCCCGGTGATTAAGTTAGCTGCCAGGTAAATTGTACTATAGTTACCTATAACTACACTACAGAGTTGTAAAGTAGATGAGAGAAACATTTATGTATTGTAAGTTTACCAATATACATACATACATTTATTCAGTTATCGTGTGTGTGTTTGTTTATCCCCACCACAATCTACCCATCCAGTGTGGTCATAAAGCCATCAGCTGTTCTGTTTGTATTCTCTTGTTTCTTGTGTATATATTCTGTCCTTCTTCTTGTTTATGGTTGTTCTTGTTTTTCTTTCTTTTTACTCTTCTTCTTCTTCTTCTTCTTCTTCTTCTTCTTCTTCTACTTCTTCTTCTTCTTCTTCTTCTTCTTCTTCTTCTTCTTCTTCTTCTTCTTCTTCTTCTTCTTCTACTTCTTCTTCTTCTTCTTCTTCTTCTTCTTCTACTTCTTCTTCTCCTCCTTCTCCACACAGTTTGTTCAGGATGTGAGTGGGAGGGAACATTCAGTATAACTTAATGTGGACATATAAACTAAGACTAATTTACGTTAGTTACTCAGGTTAACACAAGTGATAAGTTTAATTGTAATTTAACACATCTCTTCTGTTAATATGCATCTATGGATCAATTTATTTCACTACATGCGACTAATACAGCAGTTGTATCGTATTGCATGAGTGTATAAATTCTCTTCCCCGGGTTTTAACTATTCAACCATTCGGCACACAAACATTTAGTCTCTCGGTAACACTTCCAGAATACTCCGCCAGGTTATATTATATCTGTCAAAGCTGGGATGATATTGCGTTCTCTTAGTGTAATATATATTTATCTTAAACATATATACATAGTTCAAGCATGTATACATAGTTCAAGCATGTATACATAGTTCAAGCATGTATACATAGTTCAAGCATGTATACATAGTTCAAGCATGTATACATAGTTCAAGCATGTATACATAGTTCAAGCATGTATACATAGTTCAAGCATGTATTCCGTTGGGTAACTTGGTATGCTGAATTTTATTTGTTTTGTAACGACATGTACTTACCATCATTTCAACAATTTACATTTTATTTTTTTTTTTACACACTGATAGACACTACAAGCTACAAGCAGTGATCTCATTCTGATATCCGAACTCCGACTCCATGAACCCGAGACACCAGCTTGTAAGTCCGGGATTGTGTAGCGTTTCTCTGACAGGTTGGGATATCTACACAAAGTCTCTGTTTAGGCTTTGACTTTACGGTATAACCCACAGCGTTAATCAATAAACTCTAAGGTCATGAGGTTAGGGTTAAGTTAGGTTAAAAGCTTTGACTCCTCATAGATAAGTCACCACCACACCTTCACACGATACTTTGTTGTCATCTGCTTGTATATGTGTGGTGGATGATGGTAGAGGCGAGCAACAACCAAACGAGGCTCGGTAAAGGAGGGATTATATCGACATGTTGTGTTACTTATTATTCTCTTTTGTTTTGGAGTAAATCTCTGCCATTTCAGTATTTTTTTCTTTTTATTTTAATCACTCTTCTTCGGCTGTCACACTGGATATTGAAACTCAGAATTGGAGTTTAGAGAGTGTGGAGGTGGTGTTGGTGTTGGAGGGAGATCAGGTGGTGGTGATGGTGTTGATGATGGAGGTGTTGATGGTGGTGCTGGAGGTGGTAGTGGTGGTGAGGTGGGTCGGACCTTTTATCAGAGTGAAGTATGAACCGACCTCTCAGAATAATAATAAATATAAAGAAAATAAAAGTCCCAAAGCAACAATTCTGGATCAACTTGAGGAAACATTAAATAAAAACAACAATTTATAAGACTTGTGGGGTTTATCATTTTATCTGTTTTGTGAATTATAAAAAAAAAATAACTTAAAAAAATCACATTCTCGATATCTTGGAGAAAATATACATAAGTGAATAAAATACAGGAATTACAGAAGATTATTACAGGTATCAAGAAAGATTGGTTAAAGACAGCCTGGGGAAAAAAAATGTGGTGGGCTGTGGTGGCCATCCCTCAGACCTAAATATGACCACCTGGATTAATTGGACAGGTACTATACTACTACTACTACTACTATTAACTATCAAGACATACCAATATCTATTCTTTTTTGCTGTAAATAAAACATCACAGTTTCAACTTTATATTAGGTTTGTGATAGGAGTTCCGTTCACTGTAATCTATAAATACAGTACCATTCTGGATTCACCAAATCAAATACAAACATCACTATACATATTTATACATAATCAGCACTCCATGTATTGTGTATTATCATCTATTACAGTGAACAAGTTTTAAAAATTTATTCGTCTTTTGCTGATGATTATTACAGTATGTGTGTGTTTTTCATTTCAGGATAGACTAATTATATTTTAAAACAAACCCAATGTTTTTTAATTGACCTTTTAGAATGAGTTTATGTCTTTCTTGGTCATTAAAGATACAGATTTTTGTAGGTAATTACGTTAGAGTGTAATTACCTTGTTTGACTTAAGCTATGACGCAGTAATAACATCTAGAAATGACATCATTAATATCAGAACTCCAGTGAGATTCTTCCATGACCATAAATGTTTAGGTTAGGTTAGGTTAGATAGGGATAGAGAGAGATAGATAAAAGGAGATAAAGAAAGAAAGATACAGAAAGAAAGATAAAGACAGAAAGATAAAGAAAGAGACATATAGAGAGATTAATAAAGAGAGTAAGAGAGAGAGAGAGAGAGAGAGAGAGAGAGAGAGAGAGAGAGAGAGAGAGAGACATTGACAGTTTAACACAATTAACTCTCAATTTTACCCGCTTCCCTAAAGTAGAGTATTACCCAGTATACCAGGGAGATATACTGATATACTCTACTATACTGTGGTAGAAGTAGATCAAAGGTCTATCAGTAGGAATCACAAACCCTCGCCATAATGCTCATTAACTCCATCAATGACTTGTTGGGTTTAATTAAGGTCATTAGGTGGATAATTAATTAATCACAGGTGTGGTAGTCATCACCTAGCACACCTGTTGCCTCCCCATAATTTTTCTTTTAATTTTTTTCAAATATTGTTATCGATATGTCCAGCTAATATACGGTACCATCTCTTCCATTGTTTTTGCTGCATATACACGTCATGTACTGCACCTCATAACAAACTCCTGTACTGTACATGTAAACACAGAATCGGAATAAAGTTCAATTAAATTCAAAAGATGTTTATTGATATAATACACATTTTTTAGATAGACAATTGGTAAAGGCAGAGAAAATAAATAAAGAAACATTAAATATGGAGAATTAACAAGAGGTTAGGCGTCCTACAAGGCGCTGTGATGGTCCCCTACCGTTTAGAATCTGCAGTATAGGTAAATGTTTTGATACAGACGTTTGTAAATGCTTTGCAGAAAGAAGGTTGTAAGAGATTGGAATAAGTTGCCGCGTTATGCACTAAGTGACTCTTCCATTGATAGTTGTTATAACTCGGATAAACAACGGAGGTAGGAGAAATTTGTTGACATGTGTAGAGGCTGGCGATTATCTCTAAAAGTTATGTTAGGAAATTGATCTTCAGTGTAGCTTGAGAGAGGAGAGATGCTGATGGCCAGGTGTTGTCACAGTAGAGGTGTTGATGGCCAGGTGTCGTCACAGTGGCCAGGTGTTGTCACAGTGGAGATGCTGTTGGCCAGGTATTGTCACAGTGGAGATTCTGTTGGCCAGGTGTTATCACATTGGAGGTTTTGCTGGCCAGGCGTTGACACATTGGAGGCGGCCCTGGACTTCCTTCTGAGGGATAGGCTGGTCCCAGGGAGCCTCACCTCTCAGGTTATCTCGTACCTGAAGGAAAATAATTGATAAATATTCACGCAAAAAGTAAATAAAATATTACAATCTATTTAAAATAAACAGTAAAAATATCATCAACACTAACGATAAACATTATAGTATAAAGGGAACTATAAGGGAATATAATCTAATCCCTCTTAACCTAACCTAACCTAACAACCAGTGTCTGAGGACGAACTTTCACTACAAAGGTGTTAACGAGGAACTTCACTAATGTATCGTGGACTAATCGCTTTAGTGTTAGGCTTAGGTTAGGTTAAATTATATCAGTAGGTGAAATCAATATCGACAAAATCGTTAACACTAGACTATTGTAACGATTTTGTTATTAATGTTACAATGTAGAAATTCAGTTCAAGGATTGGCCAAGTGGCATTGGTCTTGACGTCTGAGCACCACTTATCTTATTGTGGTATAGAAGACTTGAATACTCTACTGTACTGTAACACAACACCTCAGGTAAACTCACCTTCTCCACCTCCCGAAAGGCGCGGATGATGTTGAGTCCTGCCAGTTTCTTCAGGTCTTCGTCAGTCCAGGAAGGATCCAACAGAAGCTCAGCGAACAAGTCAGGATACTTGCTGGTGTCTTCCAGTCCCTTTGGCGGCCTGTAACACAACAACTATTATTAGTGGAGCACCAGGAGCACCAGTGTTAGTGGAGCACCAGGAGTACAAGTGTTAGTGAAGCATTGGAATACTAGTGTTTGTGGAGCACCAGAACCAGTGTTAGTGGAGCACCAGTGTTAGTGAAGCACTAGGAGTACTAGTGTTAGTGGAGCACCAGGAGTACTAGTGTTAGTGGAGCACCAGGAGTGTTAGTGAAGCACACTAGTGAAGCACCAGTGTTAGTGGTAGTGAGCACCAGTGAGCACCAGTGTTAGTGGAGCACCAGGAGTACAAGTGTTAGTGAAGCATTGGAATACTAGTGTTAGTGGAGCACCAGTGTTAGTGAAGCACTAGGAGTACTAGTGTTAGTGGAGCACCAGGAGTACTAGTGTTAGTGGAGCACCAGGAGTACTAGTGTTAGTGGAGCACCAGGAGTACTAGTGTTAGTGAAGCACCAGTGTTAGTGGGGCACCAGGAGTACTAGTGTTAGTGGAGCACCAGGAGTACTAGTGTTAGTGAAGCACCAGTGTTAGTGGGGCACCAGGAGTACAAGTGTTAGTGAAGCACTGGAATACTAGTGTTTGTGGAGCACCAGAACCAGTGTTAGTGGAGCACCAGTGTTAGTGGAGCACTAGAACCACTATAAATACTCACCTACCCATACCATTGAAGTCAGCACCAATACCCACATGGTTCACTCCCGCCACCTCCCGGATGTGGTTGATATGAGCTGTGGATATTCAGAAATTTATCTCCAGCAGCGATAACATGGAACTGAACAACACTATTCTATAACTAGTAACATGATCAAGGCAACTCGACCAGCAACAGAAGCATCACATCCAATAACAAGCAGATTATGATTTTTTTTTTAAATTGGATATATCTTTGTGTCGGGTGTTATTGATAAACTAAATCTATCCTATCTCTTTGACTCGGTTCGATATAGCCTCTCCCCGTTTGACACTTGGGTGCCTTTCATCGCGTCAGAGATGAGGAGAGCCTTACTAAACCCTATTCCACGCCCCCCATCCCCCTCCCTACACACACAAAGGTCGTCACCATACACCACTCACCCACAACATCCTTGATAGTCGTGTTTCCGAAGCCGAGAAAATCAGCGTAAAAGACAACCATAGCGACGCCTCCGTTATCACGCTGATGGAAGAAAAACATCCTCTTTAATTTTCAGTCATAATAGTTCCCAGTGTCTCTGTTGTTTACGGGATAATGATCATAAAAGTTCCCGAAAAATGAGACGAAGGAAGGAAGTGGGTCATAAGTCCTTTAAAATACGGAAGGGATATGACAAGTATTTAAGATGGTGTTAAAGATGTTTACGATCACTAAGTTTCCTCAGAGTCCACTACTATTATCTGAGCGGTTATGTTACCATTATCTGGCTTTTATATACTTGTGCAGGGGAACAAAAGACTGACCTTGAATGTACGTCAGCTTATTAGTGTCCATGTACCGAGTGTGGTTCAAATTTATTGCTATTATTTGAGGTACTCCTGGATATAGGCAAGGACCTACCAGCCTGATGTTGTGACACCTACCAGCCTGAAGAAGAGACACCTACCAGCCTGACGAGGATGTCGTCGGGGACGTTCCTGGTGACGTTTCTGATGGCGCGGGCGTTGCTGTGGGAGAAGATGACAGGGGCGCGAGTCACGTTCAGTACGTCCTTCATTGTTTGTGACGCGACGTGGGAGATGTCCACGAGCATCCCCAGTCTGTTCATCTCCTTCACCACCACCTGTGTGAAAGAGACTGTTTACCTGTCTCGTCTTCCTCACCTCCACCTGTACCAATACTCTATTATCGTCTATCTATGTTAAGAAGTTGCCATATACTCCTATATATCATCACACGGTCTTAAACACATCAAGTTGAAAGAGAGAGAAAGAAATAACTCAGGTGACGTTCTCTCCACGACGACTTCAGTAACACTTCATGTCAGTGCCACACTCACCTGGCCCCAGGGTGTCAGGCCGTCAAACTCGAGGTGCCGACCTTCATCGCCGGATTCTGCCACAGAAGAATCCGCCCTGGAGAATAAACTTTACTTAGTTTTGATTGATGACTTACCGTATATTGCATTATGGTTAAATTATCTATATGTTGGACCCTTCTCCCGCGGGGTGCTGACTCACCAGGACTCTGCACAATACTCTTCCTATCTTCCAAGCTTCTAGCCTCACTAACTTGCCGAGATAAAACTATCCACTTTATACATTATCGTTACTCATCGTCCAACCTCCACCTACAAGGGACATTTTTCCCACCTCCCAGGACGTGTTACTCACGCTCATTAGGGACTGTTACTGCTGTTACTCACGAGGGCTGTTACTCTCACATACCAAGGGGTGTTGGAGGTGTGGGTGAGGGTGAGGTAGCGGACTCCCTCGTTGTAGAAGATCCTCAGTACCCCGAGGGAGGAGTCTATGGTGTGGCCGCCTTCTACACCGATCAGGGAGGCGATCTTGCCCTTAGCGTGAGCCTCCAGGATACCTACAAGTCCAAAGTGACCAGATGTGATAAAGCCTTTTTCTGCTGCAGATAACTTACATGTTCATCATCATTCTGTATTAGACTTTATTAAGACTTTAAGACGGTTAACACAAGGCCTGGCGCTCACCGTCAGCTGTGGTCACAAACTGGAGGTCATCCGGGTACCTGTCCACCAGCCTCTTGATGACGTCGATCTGCTCCAGCGTCTGCGTCACCGCGTTCTTGTACTGTGAGTCATTAGGCACCCAGGCGCTCCAGAACTATGAGGGGGGTATAATGGACTGTGGTGTAGCTCTTATTCAGGATAATGTCTCAAACTATTTACTGTCTTCTTTAAGAGAGACAAAAATATATTTAAATTATAAGTTAATGACCCAGCAGTCATTGTTAATACTGAGGTGCTGATGAACTTGTAAATATAATACTGATACATTATTCTAATTTATAAGAGAACAACAATTATTAACCCATATTACCCCAATACTTTCGCCACTGACCTGACCTCCTAGCTGACCTTTCCTGAGCCGTGGTAAGTCAGTATGACTGAAAGGACTGGACGCCCATGGCTCTCGCTGGCTCAGGTCTTGGTGAAAGGGAAAGGAAGCCATCTGGTTGAGTGTTGTCTTACGGATGGTTAAGGCCACGTCATTATGTCTGCCAGTACCACATTGAATTGTTAGCTTTAACATGGAGGAATAAACTGAGAATAAATCTAAAAGAAATACATTATGTGATTATGTTCCGAAAAAAAAAAATCTGCTTCACAATGTATTATAAATTCTTATGGGGTCATATAACAGGTTTATAAACATTGTAAATCCCTGAGTATAATAAATTAAACCTTTGAGTACAATATATTAATTAGTTAACCCTTTAGAACAGCGAAGTGACCTCTTGAGTAAGATTTCTTCCTTCATAATCATCGTAAACATGGTGTTAAATAATTGTCCTTAAGGAGTAAATTTCTTGTACTCATGGGATTGAGCTACCGTTATCAAAGAGTTAAATTATCATACATGGGAGGTCAAATGATCGTGCTCAATAGGTTAACTGATCGTACTCGAGGGGTCAAATTATCGTACTCGAGGGATTAACTGATCGTACTCAAGTGGTTAATGAAAATAACAGTATGAGATAAAGAAAAACTCACCCATCTACCAGCGGCACTTGACGGAGAAGAGATCGGGCGTGTTCTAGCCTCCCCTCCAACGTGGGCGGATGCTGTGGGGCCGCCCATACACACGCCCACAGCGCTACACTCCACACAAACATCGTAGATCTGAAAATATTTTGTTATAGAAAATCATAGATAGAAACTGTGCTCTCTATGTATATTTTCTGGACATCTGGTGGCAACTGGTTCCCCTCTGCCTTGAACTACAGGTGATAAACAACTATTATCAGTCATGGATAAGTCGTTTGGTAGTTACAGTGTCCTTGCACCAATCAGGAGACAGAATATAAGCTGGGACTTACTATTAACTAATCAAATCGTCACTATCGTGTTTTTACCCAGAATTCATTTGCTTCTACCATGGATAGAGAGAGTAGAGTTTGTCACATAGTATTAAGTCGACGGAAGTTTGTGAAGTTTTACGCTGTGTCGTGAGAACTGTTTGAAAAGTGGATTATTACAAGTGAAGTTATAAGGGATGTGGTATGTGATATGATGGGGTATGTGGTATGTGTTTTGTGGTATGTGTTATGTGGTATGTGGTATAAAGTATGTGGTATGAGGTATGTGGTATTGTCTTTAATGCTCCCAACATAACTTTTAACTGGTATAAATGTTAATATGTTGTTCGTGTGTTACCATGCTGCTTTTTTTTGGGTTAGGTTAGCTTAAGTTAAGTTAAGTTAGGTTAAGTTAGGTTAGGTTAGGTTAGAGGTTAGGTTAGGTTAGGACATTAAAACAGCTAAAACAACAAGCGCTTTGGCTCAGGTCCACCCGGGCACAAGTCATCCACCCACAACGGGGTCAGGGTAGGGGGGGGGGTATGAGTGAAAAGAAAAAAGAACAAAAAACTGAAATTAATCTACACCGGAAAGATGATGGAAACCAGATTTTTAAAGTGAGACAGATTGTATAACTATGGAGCCCACATGTGTTGGCTAGAACTCACAGGTCTTGGCTAGGGCCCACATATGTTGGCTAGGACCCACATGTGTTAGTTAGGGTGTACATGTGTTGGCAAGAACATACAGATGTTAATTAGTATCCCCATGTGTTCAATGATAATTAATTGGTGGTTACAAGTGTTCCCTGAAGAATGCAGTGATGGGTAGGGAAACACCGTGTAACACTGAAGTCCGTTTATTATGGATGAGAGAAATACAAGTGGTGACTCTCGTGTGCCATGCACGGCTCACACAGTCAGACTGAGGCTGCCTTGCCATATGGCAGCCTCGGGGCAATGTTACCACATAACACGTGCAGTGTTGCCACGTGATTATATATATATATATATGCTACTCGGCACAGTAGCTTAGATACATAACCTACAATAATGATAAGACACAACATTTGTAGGTAGTAGGCAGCTACCAAACAGGGAGGTACTACCGCCTGGGAAGATATTGGAAGCATAGTGTGTTGTCTAATGGTAGATCCTGCGCCATATGTGACCAAGGTTAAGTTACACACAATTGCAGGGTCTCAATTGTTTCTCTTTACTTTGACAACACAACATACATATATTGTTTCTCACTCTTTTTTTCATTTTTGTTTTTCTTTATTGTTCTTTATTATTATTATTATTATTATTATTATTATTATTATTATTATTATTATTATTATTATTATTATTATTATTATTATTATTATTATTATTATTATTATTATTATTATTATTATTATTATTATTATTATCATTATTATTATTATTATTATTATTATTATTATTATTATTATTATTATTATTATTATTATTATTATTATTATTATTATTATTATTACATTTTCGCCCCCAGGCCCCGATGTGGGTCACTGATCTGTGTCCGGGTGAATTAATCCCCAGAAAAGAACAAAACAAATGCCTTCTAGCGAGTTCCTTCACTTGACCCGAGACCCAAACTAAACAGTGTATTCCTTACCAACGTCACAAGGCGCGTGTGTCTGGTCCGCCTCTGCTGACAATACTGAACACCCAGTCATTCCTAACCTGTTTGTGCTTTACCTTTGGTATATATTTACCCGGCAGGTATGTGAAAGCTGTACCTGGGGTTGCCGAGTCTTGGTACCCAAACATGCATTACTCAATTCAAGTTCTCGTCTGGTTGTAAATTATGAATAATTCTGAGCTTGTTGTGGTCAGGAGTAGGTGTTGATGGTGTTGTTGGCGAGGTGTTGATGATCAGGTGTTGACACAGTGGAGGTGTTTCATCATATTTTAGTATAATATATTAATTTCTTCTCAATGTGATGAATTAAAAGACATAAACCTTTAACAAATACATTTTCAGTTTGTTATATATAAAAAAAAAATTCTGGTAGAATAATGGAACTTTAGTCTACCAATAACTTTAATAAAATAACAGATAAATTAATAATGAAATAAAATAAATCCTCTGAGTACAATGATTTAACTCCGGTTACATTGTCACTTTACTCGGATCAATTTATCAACTGAAGTGATTAAATAAACTCAAATATCGTAATACACAAGATATATAAAGTAAAATACAAAGGATACATAATTTCCGCCGTTTGTATATATACCCCCGCAGAAGGTCAAATATACTGGTTACAGAATACATAACACTGATAAAGTAGGCCGCTATCAACAGGTTAAGTGCATTACTCTGACCATACCTGACAATACTCTTTTAAATACTAAATTATCCCAAATACACTCAAGAGATATATTACCTGAATACATTTTCTTATACATGATATACATAAAGAGTAAATATACATAGAAGTTAAATCACATCACGGCTACATGAATACAATGTGATTTATGTTTCGACACAGGTAAGATACACAGGTGTTTATGACCAGGTGTTGACACAGTGGAGGTGGTCCTTGATATCCTCCCGAGGGATGGGCTGGTCCCAGGGGTCCTCACATTTCAGTTCATCTCGCACCTGAAAGAAAATAAAGTCTTTGTAAACTCGTACGACAAACATGACAAATTATCCCACACAACACTGAAGAAAATATAGCAAGATCTTCTACTCAATTACCTCTAAGATAATTCACAACTGACTACAGAAACACACAGAAGTAATTCAGGCGTCATCAACAACTCAGGTGTTTTGACGAGCAACATGACCTTGATTACCACAACACCTCAGGCAGACTCACCTTCTCCACCTCCCGAAAGGCGCGGATGATGTTGAGTCCTGCCAGTTTCTTCAGGTCTTCGTCAGTCCAGGAAGGATCCAACAGAAGCTCAGCGAACAAGTCAGGATACTTGCTGGTGTCTTCCAGTCCCTTTGGCGGCCTGTAACACAACAACTATTATTAGTGGAGCACCAGGAGCACCAGTGTTAGTGAAGCACTGGAATACTAGTGTTAGTGAAGCACAAGTACCACAAGAACCAGTGTTAGGCTCCGTTGTGGGTCGATCGCCTATGTCCGGTTGGGCTATTACTCATAACAAGCACACAAGAGCCAACACCCTACTCACCTATGCATACCATCGAAGTCGCTGCCGATGCCCACGTGATCAACTCCCGCCACCTTCCGGATATGGTTGATGTGAGCTGTGAAGAGGAACACCAGATGTCAGTACGTATCGATAACGTGAAATCAAAATGACATCAAAGAAGTTTAAGGTAATTTTTCCGAGAGATTCAATAACAACAACTTAGTCTTCGTGTATAAAATGTGTTGAGGAAATAACTGTTCATTTCAACAGTTATAACCTTTGCCTAACGAGGGAGTAAGTTTAAAGCCATTGGAGGTGATAGTTCCTTCTGTTAGTACCTTACTATCAGTACTGTGGGACCTTACTATCAGTACTGTGGGACCTTACTATCAGTACTGTGGGACCGTACTATCAGTACTGTGGGACCGTACTATCATTACTGTGGGGTCTTACAGTATATATCACACCTCATCTCGTTTGTGGGACCCGAGAAGGTTAACAGAGAGACACTCACCCACAACACTCTTGATGGACGCTGTGTTCAAGTCGTCGACGAGAAACGCAGTGAAGAAATTCACCATGGCGACGCCCCCGTTCTCACGCTGAAGACATGAGACATCCACTATAAACCTTCAAGCTGAGTGACTATGGCTAGTTATAGTTGACAGGTTATAGTCTCTAAGTGGATATAAACAATGGTCTACTGTAACTGAGAAAATACTAGATACAATGTATATTCCTTCGTCTCAGTTGAATTAGTGAAATATTTTGTCAGTTATGTCGTCATCCTCCTAAACCAAGTGCCGATATTGTGAAAAATTCCAAGACAAAAATAAGAGTAAATTAATATATTTTAGTGCATCATGTCTGCTGTCAAAATCGTGGGAACTTCTTGGTGGCAAAAATGTTTCTGTCAAGTGTATCTGGAGAACCTTCGACGAAAATAAACTGATTAATGAAGGTGTATCTTATGTAGAGGTGGAAAATAAATAACTCTCAGACCCATGACTCCTGACGAGGCTGACAGAAGATGTCTATTTTATCAAACTTCACTGAGGCCTGACGAAGAGACACCCACCAGCCTGAGGAAGAGACACCCACCAGCCTGACGAAGAGACACCCACCAGCCTGACGAAGAGACACCCACCAGCCTGACGAAGAGACACCCACCAGCCTGACGAGGATGTCGTCGGGGACGTTCCTGGTGATGTTTCTGATGGCGCGGGCGTTGCTGTGGGAGAAGATGACAGGGGCGCGAGTCACGTTCAGTACGTCCTTCATTGTTTGTGACGCGACGTGGGAGATGTCCACGAGCATCCCCAGTCTGTTCATCTCCTTCACCACCACCTGTGTGAGAGAGACTGTTTACCTGTCTCGTCTTCCTCACCTCCACCTGAGAGACTGTACCATCAATCTTCCTTCATAAATTCCTACTTTTGTAAGGATTCACAAAGTATTAAACTTCCATCGTATCACACTCACCTTGCCCCAGGCTGACAACCCGTCAAATTCAATATGCTGGCCCTTGTCACCCGATTCAGACACAGATGAATCCGCCCTGGAGGAGAGAAATGCCTTCCTTTATTTGTAATGGATCAGCTTATTGAGTTCTAGTTGAATAGTTTTTAATAATGTGTTGAGTTATCGTCGTGTCGGTGTCTTCTGTTACAAATATCACTTTTTAATGCAGTAAAGTAAGCTAATTTTTGGTCTAATTTATCACCTAACCTAACCTAATCAAACCTAACCTTATGGAGTTATTATTTTGCCCATACTAGCCACTGTGTTACCCATCGTTCAACCTCCACCTACAAGGGACATTTTTCCCACCTTCCAGGGCGTGTTACTCACGCCCATTAGGGACTGTTACTGCTGTTACTCACGAGGGCTGTTACTCTCACATACCAAGGGGTGTTGGAGGTGTGGGTGAGGGTGAGGTAGCGGACTCCCTCGTTGTAGAAGATCCTCAGTACCCCGAGGGAGGAGTCTATGGTGTGGCCGCCTTCTACACCGATCAGGGAGGCGATCTTGCCCTTAGCGTGAGCCTCCAGGATACCTACAAGTCCAAAGTGACCAGATGTGATAAAGCCTTTTTCTGCTGCAGATAACTTACATGTTCATCATCATTCTGTATTAGACTTTATTAAGACTTTAAGACGGTTAACACAAGGCCTGGCGCTCACCGTCAGCTGTGGTCACAAACTGGAGGTCATCCGGGTACCTGTCCACCAGCCTCTTGATGACGTCGATCTGCTCCAGCGTCTGCGTCACCGCGTTCTTGTACTGTGAGTCATTAGGCACCCAGGCGCTCCAGAACTATGAGGGGGGTATAGTGGACTGTGGTGTAGCTCTCCTCATTATAAACAAATAAAATAAACAAAGCGGTACATACATTCACTAAGGTCAACTTTAATTTGTGAACTATAAAAGGAAGAGAGAGATAAATAGAGTGAAGTTAAACAATAAAAAAATAGTTCAGCATTAATGTATAATTACTTATGAAACTTTCGGAGCAAAACTCACAGAAGTTATGTTGACGTGCTCTCCTGAACACCGAAAACTACATGTAGAGACCGACATGGATTCAGAATATATATGTAAGAGGTATCAAACAGTGAGAAAAGTTAACAGGTAAAGTTCAGGAATAGACAACTGCATTATTAATGAGAACCTAATTGGACTCAAGACGCTGGCGCTATAGACATCTAAGCGGTTACTGTTTTTCATTTCATTACTGCTGAGGTTAAGTTGCTGTGTGTACCTCCTGTGATCTTAAATCCTTCCTTCCCATCTGGCAGAGTCAACAACAACGGTACAAAATACATGAGCTTATTAGATCATATTTATACTTAATTATTAGAACCTTAACACTGACCTGACCTCCAAGATGACCTTTCCTTAGACGAGGCAAGTCAGTGTGGCTTGAAGTTTGGGACGCCCATGGTTCCAGCTTGGTCAGGTCCTGGTGAAAGGGGAACTGTGCCAGCTGGTTGTTCACTACCTTACGGATGGTCATGGCTAAGTCATTGTGGCTGTCAACACAACGTGGAGAATAAGGGAGATAAAAATGATGGAATTTAGAACCATTTAGATTTATAGTTCCTAGTGTAGACATACCTGGATGGTACAGTGTGTCCTCATTAGACAATACAGAAACAACATGATTATTTCTGTACAAATTAAGTCACAATGTATTACGTTTTCTTTCACGATTCAGGTTAATTACCCAGATTTAATATAACTCAAGTTCTCCAATACACAAATACTAGAACAACACCTGGGAATGAATGACATTGTAATCCTCACCCGTCGACAAGGGGCACCTCCCCCAGGATGGCTCGGGCGTGTGCCAGCCGCTCCGACAAGGGAAGCGGTTCTTGGGAGGCCGTCAACCCAGACATCACAGAAGAGAATCGTGTAGTAGAGGTTCCAAGTGTTCCTCTATAGCTCCAACAATCTCTACTCCTGAAACCAAACACGATACTTTATCACCTGATCCAACACTAATTTAACTATAAGGAATACAGCACCTAGACAGTTTAGTGTAGAACTTATTACACAGCTGCCTTCAATGTGAGAGGCAAGGCGAGACTCATCCGGTGTTAACTTTTGGCCACTACACTACTGTACTTGTCGTCAACAGCATCCGGTCATCACAGACTCAGGCAGTGCACCACAAACACTAGTCGTTGTTAGTTGGAGATTTTTTTTCTCCAATATCTCGACTTTCTTATTTACAGTTTCTGGTATGTTTTACAGGCTAGATGTATTAATTAAACTCACCACCACCACCAGAACCAAGACTAAGCTATACACAGTCACTAGTCTCCCGTGGGTCATACCACGTCGCCTACACTTGGGT